AAGAGAGAGAGAGGGGGGGGGGGGGGGAATTATTATCTGGAGGTGACTGAAGATGAGGGGAGCCCTCGGCCAAGTCTGCCAGTGGCGGCAAGTCCAGTAGGAGTGCCTGCCAACCAGACCAATACACAAAGAAACGTTTGCCGTGATGTTATAAATTAAATGAATATAAACTAAAGTATACATCATTATTTGATACTATTAAACACATTTAGACAAATTTAACAACACTTAAACACCAGAACCTTACAAATTCACCTTGCGAAACGCCTCAGGATTCGATTCTAGACAAATCTGTTCATAACTGTATCATCTATCTAGGTACCTTTCTCTAGTCAGATCATGCCATTCGTGCCTAGTTCTTGATGCGTCTGAAACCATTCTACTCCGTTTCGTATACGCCCCTCACTACACTACCAGATCTACCGCTCCATCTTAGAAATCGTTGGTGGCCCGCGCCCGTATCGAAGAGCCGGGCCCATGTCAAACCACCGCGCCCTTTAATGCAAAGACATGACGGGCGGTAACATTTTGATAATGAATGACTTTGATTGGCCATGGAACTTTAGCCATGAAATTTTCAAGGATCAAGTTTGGTTACCCTCCTCAGGAAAATAGTCAAGTTAGTAATCAACAAACCACGTCAAGCTTCATCGACAAATGAAACCTTATTAATCAACCTTTGTAAACGTCTTGGAAATGTAATCTAAAGACAAATCTCATGAGATGTAGTTAGACTGCTGGGGCACGGAGAACGATAGCTAAAACTCCTGATTCAAGAAGATGATGTCTATTTAAACCAACCAACTCGCCTCTTTAATCTCTTAGTATCACACAAACTCCCTTTACCTACAGCAACAGACTACACCATCATCACGAAAGACGTTATTCTAAATAGCAGAGATAAACACATTCACAATGGCTCACTCTATCCCAAAGACGACGAAGCAGTGGAACGTCACCTCTCAGGACGGCCAGGGCGGCTTCAACGTACTGAAGCTTTCCAATGCGCCGGTGCCTGAGCTTGGCGCTAGTCAAGTTCTCGTCAAGCGTAAGCAGCGCTCTCAAGTTTGTCGTGCATACATAATACGAGGATGCTAACTGCAATCTAGTGCAAGCCGCATCGCTCAACGTGAGTTTCATCGCCGACGATGCTGTTAATACGCAGCAGCTAGCTAAAAATATCGATAGTACCGCGACCTCATTATTCCACTGGGCAAGTACCCATTCAAGACGAGCCCCAACGTCATCCCTGGGTCTGATGGGGCAGGTACCGTTATTGCCGTCGGGAGCCAAGTCTCTCGCTTCAAGCCCGGCGACAAGGTGGTTACCTTGTTCAACCAGGAGCACATTGGTGGGCCACTGACCCCCGAAGCAGCCGGCTCCGGTCTCGGCGGAGCGATTGACGGCACGCTCCGCTCGGTCGGGGCTTTCAACGAGCAAGGGCTGGTGCATCAGCCCAAGACCTTGTCCGCCGTGGAAGCCGCGACGCTGCCCTGCGCGGGACTGACAGCGTGGAACGCGCTGTACGGCCTCTCCGATAACCGGGTGACGGCGGGCCAGTGGGTTCTGACGCAGGGCTCTGGCGGCGTGAGCATCTTTGCGCTTCAGTTTGCAAAGGCGGCCGGCGCCAGGGTCATTGCCACGACAAGCTCCGACGCAAAGGCCGCCTCGCTCCGGGCGCTCGGTGCCGATCACGTCATCAACTACAGGGAGAATCCCGAGTGGGGCGCTGAAGCGCGCAAGATTACCGGCGGCGTCGGTGTCGACCACATTGTGGAAGTCATTGGTCCGAGTTCCATGGCGCAGGGTCTCCAGGCGATCAAGATTGGTGGCGTCATTAGCATCATTGGCTTCGTCGGCGGCGAAGCCCAGGTTCAGCCTGGCTTTCTCGACTGCCTCATGAATCTGTGCACGGCTCGCGGCCTCATGGTCGGTAGCCGTGCCCAGATGGAGGAAATGTGCCGGGCCATTGAGGCGAACCCAAAGATGCTGCAGCCGGTAGTCGACAAGAAGCTGTTCAAGCTCGAGGACGTCAAGGCGGCATACGAATATCAGTGGTCTGGCAAGCACGTTGGTAAAGTGTGCATTGAGATTGCGTGATGCCTGAAACGGAAAAACTAGGAGGCTTTCGTCTGGCGAAAACATTTCCCGCCGCGCGCAAGAAATGTGCTCTTTCATTTACATGGTGCCAAGTTTAGTGTATGGAAGAGCTAGTTCTTCTCGATAGTACTAGTTATGGCGCCTTGCGACTCTATAGGTGTCGTGCCGACGATTGCCTGATTAGGCTAGCTAGAATCACAATTACCATGCTTTTGGTTTTGTCAACATAGTTAAGTAATGCGCATTGCATGTGCCACTATTTCCTAGAGGCGAAAGCTGTGGCGTCGAGGCATCGAAGCGGTTAAAGGACGAAAACAATGACAACACTTGTGAGGTCAAAGTACGCTACTCTGTACAATGAACCGACAAGATTGCGTCTTCTCTTCCAAGAAACAACGAGTTTCAGGTGCTCACACAATATGATCTGACTCCGAAAACCGGACCACGCACAATAGTTTCAGAAGAAAAAAAAAAGTGGCTATAATTTGTCCCAGATTTTGGCGAGACCGGAGACGACAAGGGACTACTAGGTGACAGATGGAGAGTTGAGAAACGACCAAGATGAGTTGTAAGCCAGAGTTGACAAACTGCGGAGTAAATATAATCTATGGGACTCGTAAAAGTGGAGCCTTGTCGGCACCCGGCACCCGGCAGCCAATTAATTACTAGTAATAGTTAATGCATCTTCATAACCCCCACACCCCACAATAAACCGAGGCGTGTCTACAAGATCATTGGTGGTCTTTTTGGTCTTTAAGCCGGGGCTGACCAAGTGGGTACGATTACAAGGTTATCAAGTTCCCAAGCCAAGAGAACTTTACGTTGAGGACTTGGATTTCTAATGATAACATTTAGACTCTTCAGCCACCTGAAGAAAAATAGTAGAATCGCATGTAGCTGCAAGGTGAGTATCGGTATTCATGCCCTTGCCAGCCATCTTGATAAAGACGCCTTCTGAAATTATATGTATTTCGGTAAAAGTGGCCCATTTACGACTGTAGTATTTCCCCCGTCCCGGCATGCTACCGTTTGTGCTGCAAAGTTAGTCTGATGTTTTGTTGCAAAATCTAATAACTGTACAACTGATAACACGACAATGCCATAATTGATGTTTGCATCTACCAGTGACCGTTTACATCGCGTTAGCTTGCCAACCGTCGATAAAGATGATGCCAGTGCTGAATACTAGACTAGATCAGCTTGCTCTGTAGAGGATGACATGCTAGTTAGTACCTTGGGCAAGGCTTCATGATGGAGCTGTCCCAAAAATGAGGGAACCTCTTGGCCGGCTCATCCTAGCTTGGCCATGTTTTGCTCCCTCCAAATGGTGCCTTTGTTCCTCATCCACCACACAACCCCAATTCCAGACGACGCGAGAATTGTCAGACCCGTGAACATCCACCCATAGCCCTCTATGCGTAATAAAGGATCCCCCAACAGGATGCCTGCGCAGGAGAATATATTGCGCAAAAAGTTCGCTACAGCGACTCCTGAGCTGGGTTTACGCGGAATAAACTCTGTCAGCATCGTCACGGCCAAGCTGAATATGAGCATCGTGGAGAGACCAAAGACAAAATTGGCAAACATCTTGAATGACTAAAGGTCAGCAAGTGTCAATAAGATTTTGAAAAAAAAAAAAAAAGCAAAACTGTGGGTGTACTATACCGGCGCGACCCAAAAGACACCTTTATCAACTGTCCACCCATACCAAATCATTGCTGCAGGAAACGCCACTGCTGCGGCCCATGCGTTTTCCATCATCCTGTCTTCGGGCTTCAGTGAGAGGTTGCCTCTCTCGTCGTACACTTCCCTCCGTTTCGCTTCTCTCTTCATGATGTAGTCGGCCCATTTCCCGCCGAATAGGGCAGATAACAAGAAACCTAGCCCGGAAGGTATGTAACATAGACCTAGTATGGACACAGAGAAACCGTAAGGCGGCTCCGCAAAGACTTTCTGTATAGAAATATTGAGGATATAAAGCGATCCAAAGGCAAGAGCCGCATAGTAAGATGTGAAGAGTATGGGAAGATGACGGAGGAGAAATATCATCTTTAAAGGGTCCAGAAATAGGTGCCGCAGGTGGCGCAGAGTTCTTTGAGTCTTGAGAGTAACGGCCAAGATTGCATGTGAATCATGGCTCACCGAGAGCTCATTTTGTTGCTGTCCGGGTGCTTGAGAGGTATTCAAGTTTCTGGTTGTTTCTGGCAAAGCTACAAGCAGGAGAGCGAATGATACACCTCCGTATATTACCAAGAACCATTGAGTACTTCTCCATCCCCATCGAGCAGTTAGAAATCTTTTTCGGGAACACGAATTGTTAGTTGAGATATCAAGAGGACCAGGTAGTTTCTTGAGACTGACCCTCCAATGACGGGAGCAAGTAGAGGACCACACAGAGGCCCAATGTAAAATCTTCCCATGGCTTTCCCTCTTTCTGACGGCTCCCAGATATCCGCTAGCGTCCCTGCCCCAACTGCTTGAACGGATGCTCCAGCGCCACCACAAATCATGCGCATGGCAATAAAAGTACCCATTGATTTTGCCACAGCCGAGATGATGGCAAAGAGAACAAAGAGCGAAAACGAAGCAATGTAAACGGTGCGTCTACCAGCCGTCTCGCTATATGCTGACCACCAGAGTGGACAAAAAGACAAACTGAGCATGTAGAGGGCGACGGACAAGTTGACTAGTGTTGTGGTGGAATGAAGCCCGGAGGCTGTCTCGGAAAGGGCAGCTTCATTCCCAAAATGTTAGAGATGATGGCCTGAGATGCTCTATTATTTTTGTATACTGACGAAAGATGATGGCACTGCCAAGGGAAGTTGTCGCTGCAGCAAACGCTACAATAAACGTAATGAACCATTTCACCACGTTGGAATAATGATACGGGTTCTCGACCTCTGGGATCAGAGTGAAAGAGGCAAGCAGGCCTCTTCGCTTTGATCGTCGAACGGTGACAATCCGGTTCGGGTTTGACAAAGAACCCATGTTGACAATGGCTTCGTACGCTCGACTGTCGTGACTGTCAACGTCAATGAGATGTGTTGCAAGCTGTTGAGTACATTTGAATGCCCGATATCGGCGTTGTAGCAAATGAGCCACCGAATTGCCAACAGGTAGTTGGTAGATGGATACAGAATGAAAAGAGGCTGTTAAATCGAGGACATAAACTGGAAACCAGAGGACAGGTCCAACACAACTCTCCAGCGATTACCTTTCCCGCAATTCATCTTGCTAGACCTCTCACTTAGCCCTCTTTCGTATTGTTTAAAAATGATGTTTTAGGTGGATCAGGGTCTTTGCGCCCTTGGGAAGCTCCAGCTCATCTCAATGCCTGTCTAGTTAGTCTCGGAGAGGCTATCCACAATTTGTCTTTATTATATAATGCTATCAAGCCCGCTACACATCTATCGTGTTAATGATAGTTAGATCGGGAGGAGATTTGAAGTCAGTGACAGTGTTTCTAGCCAATCAGAACACTGCAAGATTGCCCGTCATCTGACCCCGGTCGGTACCTGTGGCGTAAAAAGGTTCTAGTATGATGCACAATCTGGCCAGGTAACCAAGGACGGCTAGTCGGGTTCCGTCGAGGTACTGAATTGCAGCAAACTGTGATCTTGAAACTGCTGCCGAACTGTCAAAGGGATTATTCGTTCTGTCTACTCAAAATCAGGTGGTTAATTCAGGGTTGATTAGGGGAATTGTCTCTGGTGCTGGCTAGGTACCTAGGGATACAATTTGTGTGGGGCTCACCGAGGCCCAGGTTGTCAGGCACAACAAGGGTGACAAAACAGACCGCTGGTGCTTAAGCAGACGTGTCAGCAACAGCAGTGTATTTCTCTACGCACAAGATGTTATAAAATATAAGGTAAATATGATTAAATTCTTTATATCATTCTATATATAGCAGATATTTTAATTAGGGAATTTGCTGATAATACTGTCCTTTTTTTCTATCATTAAGAATGAGCCTTACTCCGTGTGCCGGCGATGTTCTGTCACCCTTGGGCCAGGTTATTAGAGCAGCGCCTCTTCTCCTACAAAGGAAGTTGCGGCAGTGAGATTAGCCCCTCCTTTGACCGGGGGCAATCGGGACAAGGCTTCCGGTGGCCACCCACACTGTAGTATTGTCGCGTCGATCGGCAACTAGCGACGCAAAGGGTCCTTAGCTCAAGCTTGATTTGATCCACAGTGCATCAAATACGAAAGAAAACATCCCCCAACTGTTGCTGCCGCGAGGCCAATGATATTATGACGACATCCACCTTGGCCGCCTTTTGGCTTGCGCCGTGTAATCGATACACTGTATCCTTGACCGGCTAGGAGTGCCGATTTTCCCACCAATTAGCACCATGGCATATTGACATGCCAAAGTGCTACGATGTACAAGTAGACTGCCTCTTGCGCCCAAAACACCTGCAATAGGACTGGTAAGCCGAAGAGACTGCTGAAACATGATGCATTGATGCCACGACCACTGTCTCGATACCCATCAAGCCACCTCGATTCTGCCGGCTCGCACTTGGGGCTGGGAAGAACGATCGGACCCGTCTGACGCCAGTGAATGCGTGCGGTCTGGTGGCGCGCTATTGCCGATGATGTGATATCTTGAGGCGGCATAATGCTAATTAATTCACTGCTTTTCAGTACCCCTTGTTCCTCATGGGCTCGTTGCCGTCTTCAAAGCCGTCTTCTTCTTCGCTCCTCTAGAACATTATAAATCGCTTTTGGTTATTGAGAATATGTCCCTTTGAATGATTTCTCCCACTTTAGTCGGAATAGCTTCTGGTTGGTTGCTGTTGATGCGGATATAGCTTCAAGGCGTGATCTGTGTTACTCCTCCTGAAATCTGGTTGATCTCTGATGCCATTGTAAAAAGATTCACCGACAAGAGTGGATAAACTTGTCATGGTCCAAAGTCAAGTTGGCACGATAGCACGCTAGTTTTTGACTCTTTTGTTCAAGGCATTCATGGGTCAGATTTTCAGGCATAGATGATCAATCAAGATGAGCGTTCTTTTTGACATGCTTCTTTCCACTTCTGCCTGGCATTATTTACAACTTTTCAGCTTTTCCGACACATTCTTTCGCAGTCGGCATACCAAGCGGACTGATTGAAACTGCACTCCCAAAGAGCTTTACGAAATTGAGCAGAATTTACTTTCAAGCTGGCAAAGGCATAATTGAATCCAATTGCCCCGCGCCTGGGACAGAAACCACACGAATGCAACACGGCACGAATGCAAAACGGCACAAATGCAACACGGCACAAATGTAGCACGGCACGGCGCACAGAGCTGAGTGGCATGAACCCTCCCTTCCGCGAAATCACCCTTGCTTAGCGGTAAAAGCGCTCACACCCACTTCCAAAACGGTTCTCCAACGCAATGCAGACGGAGAACAAGAACAAGCCACCTGACTAGCGGGAGAATGCCAAGCTGAACGGACGGGGTTGCCAACACTAATCGCTTATAGCGACGACCCTTGACCTTAGCAGGACATGCGCGAAATATGAATTGACTGTTTTGCCGACAGGATAATATTTTCAGTGAAAAAGTTAAAGAAAATAAAATAAAAATAATCCTCATTTTCCCAATACGCCTAGAGTTGAGTTTATTCTTGGAGCTTTATCAAGAGGTCTTGCTTGTTAGCGTCAACTCGGGGAATTGGCTCGTGCTCTTCCGGCTTGTCCGCACTAGTTAGTTAGCCATGTGGCTGTATCGGCCGAGGGGGGGCTTCAGGACAGATATGGTACGAGAAAAAGAGGCCAGGCCAGCTGAAGGCCTGACTAAAGTCCCCTTCGTCGCGTCGGACAAGTACGACAAAAAATGGAGTAAAATAGAAGTGACAGAATCGTCATGATGGTAAATTTTTTCATCGATTTTTTGCCCCTTCATCTGAACTTGCAACACATGCGAGAAAAGCTACCTACCATTCATCTCGACTCGCCTTGTCGGCAGGTAGTAAGAGCAGCAGTTTAGTGCTAGTAGATAGATGCTTTTAGTAGAGATTTTCTTGGTTACATCGAATGCATATCCATCTTTCGCTGCATGCATCAGGCATGCTTGCTTCCGCTGACACATCATAATTCAGACATGCTGCGACGCCAAGAACCTCTCCTTGGCCATAGCTTAGGCGCGTCATGGGTAGTGTAGAGGAGCAGCGTAGCTAGAGGAGAATGTAGCTAGAGGAGAGTGCGGTGCAGCTGAGGAAAAAAAAAAAAGAAATCTCGTATAAATTTTGCACATCTAACGAGATATGGTTACAGCGCCCCCAAGGCCAAAGCTGGAATGCGTCGTATGATTTGTGCCGAGATTTCAGCTTGTGTGGCTTGCATATGGAGCACCCAAAATTCCTGATGGCTTTGAATTGTGGGGCTCAACGGTGCTGTGACTGGCCTACCGGGGGCGTTCTAGACCCTGGTCAACGTCCGTTTGCAGCCCGCTATGGCTTAGAGTTCGAACGAACCATGAAACTCAAACCGACTAAGCAAGCGAGGACCGTTGCTAAGAAGAGCAATATCAATAATGCAAGCCAATAAGCTTTCGACTTCAAACGGTTGGGCCAAGCACTTTCAGCTGTCTTGTACGCAAAAAGGCCGTTCTGATGCATATGCTCTGGCCGGTCTATATAACACGCAATCGTTTCCATGGAAATGTGTATGTAGCGTGATTTTCACCCTTCTTAATACCTAACTATATAGTTTTCTTTTACTCTATAAAATCACCGTCCTTGTCCCTCCTCGCCAAAGCCAATCGAACGAATTTACAGAAAATCCCAACGCTGCGAGCCCGCCAACCGACAGAATGGCAACCCCGGATAGTGAGCCTAACCAGCCCGCGCTGGGCATTGGAGGTCACGACTTCAACAGCGAGAGCCGAGACCGTCCAGTACCTAGCCAGTACAAGAGCATCATTACAGTTCTGGTGGGCGAGTTCTGCGGAACATTCATGTTCCTGCTCTTGTCCTTTATCGGAGCACAAGCAGCCATCGACAACAATAACCCCAGTGACCCGTCAGCCCGCCTGTCACCCTCGAGTCTCTTGTTCATCGCAGCGTCTTTTGGTGCTGCCGTGGCCGTTAATGTCTGGATCTTCTTTCGTGTAACTGGAGGCATGTTCAACCCTGCTGTAAGTCATGGCCCACTGAACGTTCCCGCCAGCTGAACCAGCCATTGACATCTCACAACAGGTTACCCTCGGACTGGTTCTCGTTGGTGCTGTCTCGCCTATAAGAGGAGCATTGGTCTTTCCCACTCAAATTGTTGCTGGCATCGCAGCTGCGGCCGTCACCGATGGGTTGCTTCCAGGCCCGCTGGGCGTTGCAAATACTTTGGGTGATGGAACAAGCATTGTGCAGGGACTCTTCATCGAAATGTTCCTCACTTCTCAGTTGGTTCTGACTGTCTACTTCCTCGCGGTCGAGAAGCACAGGGCCACCTTTCTTGCTCCGATCGGTATCGGCATCGCCGTTTTCATCGCCCACATTTGCGGTACCAACTTTACCGGTACAGGCATCAACCCAGCACGATCTTTTGGTCCTGCCGTCGTGACAAGGTTTGTCGGATACCACTGGATTTATTGGCTGGGCCCTGTCATGGGTTCGGTGTTGGCCTATCTTCTCTACACACTCTTGAAATGGCTAGACTACACCACTGCCAACCCCGGCCAGGACTCTGATGACCTTGAGAGGGGTCACCATTATGCTGCTCAACCGCCCTCCAACCTGTCAGAGAAACGGCTCAATCTAGCCAGCCGAGATAGCACAGCTCGGGGTAGCAATCCCTAGGCAGATGACTAGCTCCAAAACGTTGTACTGGATATATATAGCTATACTCTAAAAATAATACATGATTCCTGCCAATAGACATACTGCTCCAATCTGAAAGTGTCAATGAATAGCAACCCAGCACGCTCTTGCTTGCAGAGCTACAGTAATTGGGTCTCACTAATGAAGCTGGATGATCCAGCAAAGAGATAATGCCATGTCATTTCAGACTGGTGCCCAGTGTATCTTCGAGTTCGCTCGATTAAAGACAATGGTATATTGCTCCACACCCAACATTTTCACGGTGACACAAGTCCTGGACATATGAGGGACAGTAAATTAATGCGAGGCAACAGGCGGCTGTTTTTTTCTTCTTTTTTTTTGGGTCTTGCAACAATCACTACTGCTCGTGCTCGCCCCCATAAAGAAAGAGGCACTTTGGAAGAGAGTGCTCCCCAGCAAAAGCGGCCCACCTTACTCCTGATTCGGCTTGCGACGAATTTTAAATCAGTCACAGTCTTCACCAATTGACAATTAGAATCGCTACCTTGTCGGTTTTCTCCCGCCTCTCACATGATTGTTCTGTGTTCGGCTATTTGGACGTGCTCTGCACTCGGGGGCCGGCATGTCCCAGCCCCTTTCTGTATGTATCCATCACGACCTTTTCCGAGTTTGTAAAAGCTGGCCTAAGCATCAGCATGTAGGGAAAATGCATAAACTGACTGCTCACAACCATTATTCCACAAAGCCTAGCACGAGCTTTTCTACCCCCCGCCTAGATTCTCTCAACTGCAATAATTGTCGAGAAATAGGATATCTGATAAAAATAGGCTGTGCTACGATTCTGAGAAAATGGACATTGTTGAAAGAGCAGTACGAAAAGTACGGCGAGATTGAGTAGTGGGAGACTTTTCGAACATCTGTCATTTGCGTCAAAGCAAAAAAACAAAGCATAAAAGATGATGGCAAAATTAAATAGCAAAGCAAACTTCTAAATATGATGTCATCGCGTGTGTGGTGCAATAGTTGCGAGTCTCCAAGCGTTCGGTCGCAGGTGGATAGCTACAAAATGGAGCGTATCTAGGCGCGGGCCAAACCGTTCACTTGGTAACGTGGGCCACCCACGAGTCACCCCCCCACTCGGCAGGGTCAGCGCTTTCACGAAGCGTCATGTAAATAGAAGCAAGCTTTAACTTACAAATTAACTACACACAAGGCAGCTAGGGAAGTGGGCCAATGGGGCGACTAGACAGAGCCCTATTTATATATTCAATCGGGATGCTGATTTTGTGACTGGAATGTGTCGTATGCCCCCCCATGTAGCTTGGTTTCAATATAGAAACAGGATGTGTGAAGGTCTACGCCTTGTGAAGCAGCACACTGCCCTCAACCGGCCATCTCGAGATAGGTAAGGTAGTTTTTACTCTGCAGCGCTCCGTCATTGCGAAGCGCAGCAGCTGTACAGCTGCTTTGCGTACCTAACCCTGAAACCTGGCCAACAGAGCTGGACGGACGTGCCAAACACTCGGGTGGAGACTGGCCCGCCTTCTACACATGTCCCCGCAATTACTTCTCTTTTGACCCGACTACCTTTTTTCGCAATCTGGGGATTGAGTCCAAGTTCTGCCCAAGCCCTGAGATCTACCAATTCAATACTTACTCATCGCATTCACCTGCCGTGCAGAAACACGGCGTGCGTAACGCGTGTAGCACCGTCCTCCCGCGCCGTTGTGGGGCCGGTTGCTGTACCTTGCCTTAACAACCTAACGCTAGGACGCTTTCAGCCTTAGCCCTTTCCAGCGTCAACTCGTCACTCGTCATCCCTCCTCTGTCTACGGTTAGCCTAGCCGGGCTGAGGCAGCCAGTTTACTCGTCTCCAATCCCACCGAATCTACCACGGCCCATCTCCGCACTGGCATCATCGAAACGCTGTCATCTCAACAAGTCCGCATCACGGACGCCTTCCTGCACAGCGCCATGAAATCCCTCGGGAGCATGCTGTTCGGGATCGCCGCAGCTTTGCCCGCCATCGCTGCCGCCCTGCAAAATGCCTCCTACCCGACTGTTGACATGTTGAGAGCGCAGCTAGCTCTCATGGGTGATAACGATCGTCCAGACGGCTGCCCGCCATGGTAAGCCAACACCCGACTTCGTCCATCGAGCGCGACAAATTCGAGTCTCGTTTACTGACCCATCTTTCTTGCGCAGCTTCAACTGTCTCCTTCCCGCCCATACCTGCACCCAGTACGCTGGCTGCAATGAATATAACGGCATCTGTGATTGCCCCGCTGGTTTCGGTGGCGATGATTGCCTCAAGCCTCGTGCGTCGACCCCAATGGATCACTCCGACGACTAAATTACATGCTGACCAGTGCGTGACTAGTTTGCGGCTCTTTGGCCCGCGGTCGCGACCGACCCATGCGATCTGGCGACCGCTGCGAATGCGACGAGGGTTGGGGCGGTGTCAACTGCAATGTCTGCACTCAGGACTCTGCCTGTAACGCCTTCATGCCTGATGAGACTGGCGGTGTCTGTTACCGCACTGGCGAGCTGGTTCGGACCAACCACCAGATGTGCAACGTCGTCAATAAGATGATTCTCCAATTGCTCGGCGACCAAGTCCCAGAGGTCACTTTTACTTGCGACGCGGAAAAGGAAGAATGTGATTTCCAATGTAAGCAACGACACAAGACCAGTCCTGAAAGTGCTCGTGTACTGACACTTGTTAGTTTGGGTTGATCAGGTCGAGTCTTTCTACTGTCACCTCACCGAATGCGAGTCAAGCGCATCCTTTGGCGATACCACAAACGGCACATCGTATAAATGCAACAAAATCGAATGCACTTGTATCCCTGAACGCATGATGTGTGGAAAGGACGGTTCTATGGATTTGACCGATTTCTTGGCCGAAGCCATCAAGGGTCCTGCGTCGTTTGAATGCACCAACGACGACGATACGCTCCACAAGTGCGCGTTCAAGGAACCCCAGATGGACCAGCTCATGACCGACCTGCTGGGTGACTCCAGCATCCTGCTTACCTGCGGTGCGGGCGAGTGCATGCACGAGACTGAAGTCCCTGGCTATCGACGGCCTGTGAAGCAAATCAACACTCCCCTCATTGCCGGCATCATCGCTGCCTGTGCCCTGTTTGTTGTCGCTGTCATTGTTGTTACTTGGTATCTAGCTCGCCGCAGACTGCAGTATGGCGCCATTCATCTTGATGACTCCGACGACGAGAGCACCAAGCTCATGGCCAACCACAGGCCCGCGTCGCTACAATATCAAAACGTGTCCTACGCTCTCAACGGAAAGCACATTCTTACCGGGATTCAGGGAATTTCCCATCCGGGCGAGGTTACAGCCATCATGGGTGCGTCTGGTGCTGGCAAGACGACATTTCTTGATATCCTTGCCCGCAAGAATAAACGCGGCCATGTTTCTGGTGATTTCTTTGTCAACGGCGAAAAGGTATTGGATAACGACTACAAAAATGTCATCGGCTTTGTCGATCAGGAAGATACGATGCTTCCGACTTTGACCGTTCATGAAACCATCCTCAACAGCGCTCTATTAAGATTGCCTCGCGACATGACCCGCGCCAGCAAGGAACAGCGAGTTTTCGAGGTGGAAAGAGAGCTTGGAATCTACCACATCCGAGATTCGCTAATTGGATCCGAAGAAGGGAAGGGGCGTGGAATCTCTGGTGGCGAAAAGCGACGCGTTGGAATTGCTTGCGAACTGGTCACGAGCCCTTCCATTCTCTTCCTTGACGAGCCCACGAGCGGTCTGGACGCTTTCAACGCTTACAACGTCATCGAGTGCCTCGTCACACTGGCCAAAAACTACCAGCGCACCATCATCTTTACTATTCACCAGCCACGCTCCAACATTGTCGCCCTGTTTGATCGGCTTGTGCTACTCGCCAAGGGTAAGACTGTGTACTCTGGCAAGTTCTCGGAGTGCCAACCATACTTTGATGGCATTGGATATGAGTGCCCGCCTGGTTTCAACATTGCAGATTACCTGGTAGATCTTACAATGCACGCCGGCCGAGCTGACTCTATTGATGATGGCACTGTCGGTGCTGACTCTGCAAGCGTCGGACCAAGCAGCACTAGAGCTGTCAAGTCTATTGCCAGTGTATCCGGTGCCAGCATCGGAGAGGAACGCTCAGAAAGCTCATCCTCCCGCCCGAGAGCCAAACGTGCCGACTCCATCCGTACTCGACAGGAACGCGAGCTCTTTACGCGCAGACGCACTGCTGATACCGCTGCATCCTCGGATGCTGGTGGCGAGGAAGTCGGGGCATACAAGCTTCAGAAACACCCCGTCACAGCTCTCGGACAGCTACCCGAGGACCATCACGATTTGCCACCCGATGCGTTATCCGAAACCGATCTTGATCTATTGTCCAAGGCGTTTGCCCAGTCTCACATCGCCATCAGCACCTACGACGAGATCCAACAGTCTATTGCGGCTGCTCAAGATGCTAACGGCTCCAACGCTAATGGGTACACCGTAGACGGTCCGAACATCAACATCAGTGCTGTCGGAAAGGGTTACCACCGCATCAGCTACCCTCGCCAATTCATTATTCTTTCGCATCGCACCTTCAAGAATCTTTACAGGAATCCAATGCTGATGCTGACTCACTATGCCATTGCCATTGTTCTTGCAGTCTTTGCCGGATTCCTCTTTTACGGGCTTACTGATGACATTCCTGGCTTCCAAAACAGACTCGGCCTATTCTTCTTCCTCTTGGCACTGTATGGATTCAGCACGCTCACAAGTCTGACTGTGTTTGCCAATGAGCGTCTGCTCTTTCTGCGCGAACGAGCCAATGGATACTACTCACCAGCCACCTACTTTGCAGCCAAGGTGCTATTTGACATTGTACCGTTGCGGATTATTCCGCCTATTCTGATGGGCTCTATTCTATACCCGATGACTGGCCTAGTACCCGATTTTCCCCATTTCATCAAGTTCATTATCGTACTTGTGCTCTTCAACCTCGCTGCCGCGGCCATTTGCTTGTTCATCGGCATCATCTTCAAGGATGGCGGCGTGGCCAACCTCATTGGTAGCTTGGTCATGCTGTTCAGTCTTTTGTTCGCGGGCTTCCTGCTCAACCGTGAGAAGATTCCAGCCAGTGCCGCTTGGCTGCAGAGCATATCAATTTTCCATTACGGATTCGAAGCTCTCATTGTCAATGAAGTGGTTGGACTGACACTCATTGACGAAAAGGTCGGCATCCCCATCAAGGTGCCCGGCGCTACTATTCTCAGTACATTTGGCTTCCAGAACGGTGCTTTGTGGTATGACATTCGCAACCTGGGCATCTTTGCGGCCACCTTTATCCTCGTGGCTTACGCCGCCATGCACATTCTTCTTGTTGAGCGCAGATAGCATGCACTTGCTGTGCGACTCTCCGAGTGGAAAGCAGTTGCATTTTTTTGAGAGCGTTAGACATGTGCTATTCTTTTGATCTCTTGAATTTCTTTGCATCGTCGTTTGACTTGAGCGTTTTCACATGAATGTACTTGTCTCGCCAAACTTGGTATATAGTGGGGGGCGTACTACATGAATATGAATAAAAGAACGCTCACGCCTTGACTAGAACAGATCATGATGCTTTGATTGTGAATGTACATATTGTATTGGTAATTTTACACGCATATGCTAACAGAAGGTGCACATGGTCTTGTACATGCTCCGTCGCTCCCACGGTTCCTAATGCTATTATGCTTTTATGCCATCTTGCCGCCAGTCAGCTCTTCCGAAATCTTCTTTGTGCGCTTGACCGAGTGGTCAAACTCGGACTCGCTGGCATTGGCGACGTTGGTCGAGGTCCTGCTGACCGTCTCAAACATGGAGGCGAGGCCGGGGGGCGCGCCGTGGACACCCCATACGTTTTCGGTGGCGCCGGCGCGCAGGCCCTTGATGCTGAGCTTGCGGAAATAGTCTTCGTGGAAAATGGTGTCAATCTCGGCCTGCAGCTCGGCCTCGGTGACGATGAAGGTGGTGGCGTTGATGTAGAGCTCCATGAGGGCGTCGCGGCGGGCGTCGCGGCGGGCGCCCTCGAGCGCCTGCACGCGCGCACGGCTGCGCTCCGCCTTTGCGAAGCGCTCGGGGTCTGGTCGCACGGCCGTGTCGTAGATGGACTCGAGCACGGTGCGCGCGTCATGACGGCGGCCCGCGGCTC